AACCTTCGTTTCCAGGCGTAAGGTCTAATGTGACTAGCGCTTGCAGTTTCGTGTTCGTAAGTTCAGAGAAGAAGAAAAATTGATATACCCTATGATTCGATTGGGAAGATGGACCCGGAACATAGCGTTAGCTGAGCGGCCGCGGACGGGGTTCTTGGCAACACCGCGTGTTCCCATTCACAACTCTCTTAAATAATCCCTCATAAATTTTAATTAGACAATAGGCATCTTGATAGCCTGATGCTCAGTTCTTAGGGCTACAATAGAGTGTGTACCAATTTTGTTCGTACAGGAATATTTTGGATATAATATGACATCCAAAACATAGTTAAAATGAATATTTGTTTAATTCTCTACGTTAATTGATGTTATGTAAAGGAAAGAGTATTTTTACAAAATTAAAACAATCCAATTACCTTTATTGTTCATAAATGAATAGTGGATAATATAAACTGATTATACACTTAGAAAAATAGTTTTAAAACAACAAAGATCGAAAGTGTATACCCTATTGACTTGATAATGGCTTGGCATCTCGCTGGATTAGATTAACCAGACTCCGACAAACTTCCGGACTTATTTTTCCCACTCTTCGAAAACAGTTTTCTTTAATTCTTCTATTGACAAAATATTATGTTTTCTTATTTTTTATTTCATTATGGCCCACACATGTTCGATTGCATTCAAATCACGTGATTGTGGAAGATTGTCTAACAGTTTTGGCACATTGCAAATTATACATTATTTGTTAATTGCTGCCGTATGCTTGATGTCGGCTTGTTGAAACACAAACAGATGGCATTTCCAATTTTTATACATTTCTCACATTTGTTCTTAAAATATTATTGTAAACTGACTTGTCCATTATACCATCGATAAAATGTAGGTTTCCAACGCCTTTTGATGGCATATAGTTCCAAAAAATGATTGAGCCGCTTCCATGTTTTACAGTTGCCAGAGCATTAGCCACGTATTGGCTTACCGTCACACCCTATGGACACCATCACACCCAAAAAAGATTAATTTTGGCCAGATCAAACCAAAGAACGGAATTCCTAAGAATCTTTATGCAGATTCTCTTTGGCAAACTAAAGTCTGAGCACTGAGTCTTCTTATAAATGGCCTCTTCCGAGCAATTCTTCTATGGTATCCATGGCTACAAAGCGTCGAGCGGAGGGTGGACTTTCTCACATCTTTGTCTGTACTTACTTTTAGCAAAATGCACAATTTTGGTACACTTAATTTAGAGGTTCCCTTAATTTCTCTTACAACAAAGCGCTCTTCTCCGGCGTCCATTCTTTTCTTCATATGAGAATTTCCTGCAATGGGCATTTTGAAATAATGATGTAATATAAAAGGAATCTGAGAAAATAGTGGTGTAATATAAGCGTTTTTAATGTGTTCTTTTGTTAATCCGTAAATTAGGGAACGCTCAAGGGAATTTTTGAGGCAATTTTACTCCGCGTCACTTAGAGAAAGGGAAGTAATTTTTGTGTTCGTAACGCTGATATTTATTTTTATTTTTTCAATAATTATGGAAATAATATATTGTATCCAGTTTTAAACAATGACATTAAATTATTAAAATGTTAAACTATTAGTTTAAGGTACATGAATAAATTTATAATAAAAATGTATAGATAAAAAATGTTATAATAAATTGATTTTATTAGTCAATGGTGTATTAATTTAATATGTTAGATTTCAAAAAAGTATTCAAAACCAATGTTTAGTATTTTCAAAAATATTTAAATTAGTACTGGAGAGTCCTATCCATGCATTAACCACGACAGCGACTGCCCGCCATTTAAGAAGAAATTTTTCGCCTATGCGTCCATCGCCCAAACATTCTCCGCAGTGTTCATTGGTGCAGCCAGCATCGTCAATTCTTCACAAAAATATTTTTGCACTTTTGTGGAACAAAATATTATGAGCCGTTCGGTAGATGCGGGCAAAAGGAAACAAAGCACATCATTATGACATCGCAAAATACCGCAAAAATCTGCATGTGTAAACATTGGCTGCGAACAATTTGGGCGCTGCAATGTATTTCCTATCTCTTCCCCTCTGTTATTTATACGCTCTGTGTTAAATGGAACTGAACTCAATAATGATATTATCAAAAGTGATGTTGTCGGCTTGCGGAAAAAACACAAATATGCTAGGTTTATGTGTAAGATATAATGTATCTGTTGCTAATTGAAATGTCAAATATATTTATTTAATTAGGAAACCTTTTAATATAATACACAACTTGTACATTTTTTCATTTTATAATTTATATTTTGTTTTACGAATAGGGCGTTGCCACAAACGTTACGTAACTATTTATGGAGGTCAAAGCTTGCGTTAACGGTGAGTTACAGTGGGGAGGGTGGTATCTAAATAACTCCAAAATTGCGTTACGTAATTTATGGTCGGACCCTTTGTCGTGCATTTGACACGGGCTTACACGTATTTCTGTTTTAATGTCTGTTTGTGGCTGTTGCTCTTTGCTTTGTGACTCATTGTTTCTAATAACGATATTGTTCTTCTCAATGATTTCTCTCCTATTGATTTCGAATTGACGATTTTGTTTTCGCTGATGTCAACGGCAAAAGTTAGTGTAAGTGAGCGAACAGTTTGTGAATTTAACAGTATATAGTATGTAGCAAAAAACTAATCAAAAAGAACTTGGTAAGGTTTTGTTAATAGAGAACTTTCGGGAGGTGGATGCTTCTAGACCATCATGAATACTCTGCTTATATTAGCATAACAGAGTATTATAACTCAAATAAAAGTGTAATAGGAAGCTTTAAACACATTTTCAAAATTGATTGCATTAATATTTCCCTTATGTTTTGACATGTGCTTTATCAAACTCATCGTCATTATACCTACGTAAACACAAAAGAAATATACACATCCAAAAAAATTAATGTTTGAAATTGAGGTTTAGTTTCCTTCCACCGGAGTATTGACAAATAATTTGATGTAGTCTTACTGTCGGCTGCGGATTCACTTCTGTAAAAATCACGAATTAATTATCTTCAAAAAATGTGATTATTATACACATCATATGTATCCTTTTATTTAAATAATGATAATTCAACTGAAAATATAAACATTAAGAAATATTTCCCTTATGCATGTGTATCATTTCCACATTTGGTATACTGTCCACTACCAGAGAAGGCATTTCGGTATACTTATACGAACTAGTTAGTGAAATTATTAGTTTCAGTAATTGAACGGGATCACATTTTTTATATTGTGTTAACTTATAAGTGCATTAAAATTGGCACTGGTAAAATTGAGTGACTAAAGAAAATTTTATGGAAGGCATTTTCTCTCCGTAGATAGAATGCAGCAAGTGTTTGAGAAATTTGAATACCTTTGTACACGTAACAAAATGAGGTTTTAACTTTACATTCGTATTCTTCACTGAAAATTTGCGAAAAATGCACTTATACCCTTTGTGCTCTAGATATTTCAATTCAGAAGTGCAGCGAGTGGTATAATTTTTTCGTGATATCTAGATGTGTTAATACATAATTATTACTTTGACCATAAAATAAATTTACTCTTCATGGTTGTATCTCCCTCAGTTAAAACAAAAATGAGAGCGAAGTTATCGTTCGATAATCAAACAAAAATCCGACTGTTGTATAGGACATCTCTTCACAGTGCACTATGGTACGCTACGTTGAAACCCTATACACTCAAAAATACAATTACCGGTTAAATATTCTTGTGTACAGGGGATTTGAAGGGAGCGCTGCTGAAGAATATGTCTGGTTTCCCAAAATTCTCAAAATCCAAGATAGTGAGCCAAAGAGAAAGAAAGGTTATTTCATTTCTAACAGTAGTGTGTAGTACGTAATGATAATATTTAAAAATGAATGTGGTGAAATGAAACTAGTGGTGCTACAAAATGGTACAGACTTTCTAGTAGTAAAGTTATTTAATTTTCTTGGTGTGGACTGGCTTTATGGTCTTGCCCCTTGCTCTTGCTGCCATCTATCGTTGCCCAAAGAAGAAAGTGCATTTACTTGTATGGTATGGTTCCGATTTTCACTAAAACTTCTGATATTTAGAAAATTGGAAAAAAAATTAGAATACGGAAGTCTGTGTTACTCTTCATTTGATGTTTGTGATAAAATTTCACAATTCCTTTCACCGTATTACTGCTGGAAATATTTCAAAAATCTATCCCTATTTTTTAACTTTTGGAGTATTGCAGTGCTTATTATTTAGCGCGATTACTGTTTCTATTGTAACGGATTAATGGAGATATGAGGAAGCAAGATCCTTTTGTCATAATCTCACATTGAAAGGCTGAATTGGGAACGACTTGAGTCAGGCTATCAATTTAGATTCCGACAACGACATTCGACAACGGCATTCATCAACTGAACAAGTTCGCAGAATAGTGAAGATGAACGAAGACTTTAAAAATGGAAGATATTCCTCAGCACCGTTTTTAGATGAGGAATCAAGGACTTCTGTACAAAATTACGAAATTCTCACTCTTGACAAGTCCTTTTTAACAAACATATTCTTCCAAGTAAAATGCAAAACAGTCCTGACCTCATTTCGACTAATAGAAGCCACTACATATACCACTAACGATATTACAGCCTTGTATAAAGAATTACCACACAAGATTGGAAAATCATCCAAATTATCTCACTATCTATTGGACAATAGTGAACATTGAGTAACATTTCCACACGTGTAAATACTATACAATATTTACTAATATTTCTGTAGAAATAAATTGCGAGTAAACAGAATTTACCAATACAAAATCTTTCACACTGTCCATATGCCAGTGCCATCACTGCCAGTCGCTGTCTACCGGACTAGTGGCCAGTTAGCTGTCCTAAACTTCTGTTCTCGTGTTTTCGGGCTCTTAAGTCCTCGAAAAACGCTAATTTATTTTGATACAATTACATGTTAATAATAATAATAATAATAATAATAATAATAATAATAATAATAATAATAATAATAACTAGCGGAAACTGTGCGATTACATCGCACAGAAGTAAGTGCTGTAGAAAAGTGAAGACAAAAAATCATGCATATCCATGAATGTACATTATGTTTCGTATTTACCACGATCTTTGCACATATATACATGGTTATTGTTTTGGCCAATAACAGCAAATCCTGCTCTTAACCTTACCTTAATATATGTAACAAAATGTATAAAATATAATTTCCAAATAATAATCAGAACTCCCTCGCCTCTTTGATGTTTTTAGTATAGAATAACACAAGAATGATATAAAAGTATGTACGTTGAATACAATTGATACAAACAATTGTTTTAACGATCACATAACACGATGTTCTCCAAGCAAGATCAATTGCTCTTCCATTTCCCGCAAACTGGCGAAGTTGCTCATGACGTCATCTTCCCGTTGCCATTCTAGTAACGCAATTTCAAACATTTAAATTATTTTTATTCACCGAAATCTATACCAATTTGTTGCAATGTACTATAAGTAGAAAATTCTACTATCCAACGTAACTGAACAATGTAATGCATCACATATAATTGTAAACCCTGTTTTGTTTTTGTAAAGTAATGTGAGTCAAACGATTGCTGCACATTATGTTTTGTACATATATACTCGCTAATCTTGCAGTTAAAAACAGTCAATCTTCAAACTCGAAAAGCTATCTTTGTTTTGTTAACTATAACTTCACGAAACATCGACTTCTTTTCCTCACGGAACTGCTCAATTGCCTAGGCCAATTACTTTTCAACTACTACATAATGTAGTTGGTCTTGAAAACCACTTAATGACAAATGACGGCAGGTTAGCGTTCATTCCTTCATTATTAATAAAATTTAGTGTTTACACTATAAGGCCTGTTACTAAGAGTAAATAATAACTCATATAGAGCACATTACCTTTCGTATACAGCAACCACTTCGAAATATTTGGTTGGGTAGAAAACTCAAATTTATTTCTGAACAAAAACCCTGAGTATTTTAAATATATAGATAATAATAATAATAATAATAATAATAATAATAATAATAATAATAATAATAATAATAATAATGATCTGGAAGAGTTGATTTGTGCTACACTGATGTCGCTGGTTAGAGAATTAGTTTCTATATTCGTATAAGGCAGATTAATAACAAAAATGTAGAATTTTGTTAAAAATAGCAGTTATGTTTCCTGGCACATCCAACGTGCATAACATGCAAAGTTTTGACTGCCTGGCCCCTGCAACCGGATTTCTTTCTCCAAAGACGTTTACCCACGCACGGTTACGGACCTACATAATGTAGCGCACAGTTTAGGGTCTGACCATTTAAAATTGGATTTCAGTGTGAATCTATTTTCGTTTGGAATACTATGATTTACATAGTGCAGAATGAACACACGGATCCAGCTAATTTCTTTGAAAAATGTTTGTAAAAACGACACCTTTCATTTCTGCCAAGTCTTGTAACTTAAATATTCATCTATGTACACTTACCGTCGGAACATAGGGCTCGGGATCGTCTGCCTTTCCTTAGCGGCAAAAACATTAAAATCATCTCAATTCTCATACCGTTTTGGCCATATGTGGCACTGAGATGAATAGTTTGATGGAGAGATTATGATGAAACGATGTGATTGTAATGTAGATGGAAAAATGATAGAATAAGTGCCATGGAAAGTAGAACAAAACCAAAAGGAGAAACTTGCTGCGAACTTGCATAGTTCACTACAAACTCCACATGTTTCTCCTGGGATTCGAACCCCGTAACTACAGGTTGAAGGTGAGTGGTGAAGCTACAACACCGGAATCGCCTCGGTTCACTTAGTGCCGTAAATATTTGTGTACAAATCCTTAGTTAATGAGACACCTTTCATTTCCACAAAGTCTTGAAACTTTTCAACCTGTCTACAAACACTGTCGCACCCAGGTTTCTTCCTGGTCGAAAGAAGAATATATATGAAATAATCTCAATTCACAAGCAGTTTCAGTCATTTATGACAAGGAGATTAATTATTTGATAGAGGGATTCTCATACTACTGCTGCTTCTGCTGCTGCTCCTGATGATGATGATGATGATGATGAAATGATATATCAATGTTGATGAGCAATTTAGAAATGACGGAGGAAATATGACAACTCTAAGACAACTGCCGCGAACTCACATTTATCTCCTAGGGTTTGAAACCTGTAACTACAGGTTAAAGGTGAGCGGTGCAGCTACTAACCTACGAGTTGCTCTGGTCCACGTAGTATTTACATTTAAAAAATTAAACAATCCTTATCAATTGTGACACCTTGCATTCTTGAAACTTTTCCACCCGCCTGTGAACACTCGGCATCGGAAAACCGGACACAGGTCCCGTCCTCTTCAACAGAAGAATATATTGTAAAAAAATAATTTTTGAAGCCTTTTCGACCATATATGACAATCAGGGTTTGATATAGCGATGATGATGATAAAATTATTTTAATGTAGATGAAGAAATTATGGAATGACGGGCAGGGGAAATATGAGAAACCCAGTAGAAGACAACCTGCCGTGAATTCACATTGTCCACCTCAAACTTTATAGGCATCTTCTGGGATTTGAATCTCGTTTCCAGACGTTAAAAGTGGTCAGCAAAGCTTCGAATCGCTTTGATCTAGGTACTGTCTTAAATAAAAAATAAAGCATTCTTAGTAAACTGTGACACCTTGCATTTATACCAATTCTTGAAACTTTTCAACCTGCCTATGAACACTCGCCGTGTGAAGGTCGGTCCCTCGCTCTGGTCCCTCCGTGGTCAAAAGAAAACTACATTCGAATAATTTCAATTCTCAAGCAGTTTCGCTCATGTATGACAATGAGATGAATGGTTTGATGAAAGGATGTCGATGAGATGATACGATTTGAATGTTGATGGAATAATGGTAGAATGAGAGGCAAGAGAACTCCAAAAACACCTGCCTTTGTTCACCTCAACTCCACGTGGGATTCGAACCCCCGCAACTAGATGTTAAAAGTGAGCGGTGAAGTTACTATCCCATAAACCGCTCTAGTCCAGGTAGTGTCTTGCATCCAATTTGTAAAATAAAATAAAAAAAAACACCTATAGTAAATTTAGTAAATTCTACACCTTCCATTTGTACCAATTGTTGAATTTTTCCGCCCGGCCTCCGCACACGCGCCGTCGGAAGCCCCTCCGCAGGTCGCTTCCTGGTCGGAAGAGAACGGCCGTCGGCACGGGGGCTTTGACCACACTCCGTCTGCGTCAGCGCCGACTCCGCACTGCGCGGAATACCGC